TTTTTCTATTCACCTCCTACAAGTACAGTAGTGCAATCTCTTGATCGTGAAAGTGTAACTTACAAATGTAGATTTTTTTTTGTTACATAACTGCACTCAAAAACAAAACAATGTAAAATTTTAGAGCCGACAGGTCCACTCAATCCTACTTCTTGTTCAGCCAATTGCTAAGACAAACAAGTTTGTTTAAATTTACAGGAGATATTGCTGCCCGCGTCTTGTCTACAATGTCACCTGAAAGTGAGAACAGGCGTTCGCATGGCACTTTTGTAACTGGTGTTGCAAGGTATTTGTGTGCCAGATATGCCCAACATTCATATGCCCCTTCATGCTTCAGCCACTATTCCAGAGGACATGCTTCCATGCTGATGAAGCTCATTAAAAAAAATAATGCATCAGTTAAATTTGACTGTACTCCTTTGGGGAGAATTATATGTCTCCTGTTCTGTTTTACCCACATTCTGCCATATATTTCATGTTATAGCAGTCTCGGATGATGGCCCAGCACATGTCCGTTTTAAGAACACTTTCACAGCAGACTTGATAAAACGCAAAGAAGGCACCAATGTGAGATTTCTAAGGATAGGTACAGCAGTCAACCCAAGGTTTAAGAAGTGCCTTCCAAAATCTGAGAGGGATGAGGTGTGGAGCATGCTTTCAGATGTCTTAAAAGAGCAACACTCCGATGAGGAAACTACAAAACCCGAACCACCAAAAAAGAAAGTCAATCTTCTGCTGGTGGCATCCGACTCAGATGATGAAAATGAACACGCGTCGGTCAGCACTGCTTTGGATCGTTATTGAGCAGAACCCGTCATCAGCATGGACGCATGTCTTCTGGAATGATGGCTGAAGCATGAAGGGACATATGAATCTTTAGCACATCTAGCACGTAAATATCTTGTGATGCACTACAACAGTGCTATGCGAACGCCTGTTCTTACTTTCAGTTGACATTGTAAACAAGATTTGGGCAGCAGTATCTCCTGCAAATTGTAACCAAACTTGTTTGTCTGAGTGATTGACTGAAGTAGGACTCAGTGAACTTATAGGTTCTAAAGTTTTACATTGTTTCATTTTTGAATGCAGTTATTTTTTGTACACAATTCTACATTTGTAAGCTCAACTTTCACGATAAAGAGATTGCACTCCAGTACTTGTATTAGGTGAACTGAAATATACTTTTTTTGTTTTTTACAGTGCAAATATTTATCAAAAATAAATATAAAACGAGCCCTTTGTATACTGTGTTGTAATTGAAATCAATATATTTGAAAACGTAGAAAACATCCAAAAATATTTAAATAAGTGGTATTCTATTACTGTTGAACAAGGCGATTCATCGCAAATAATTTTTATCAGGGTGCTGTTCTACATTTGGATGGCTTCTTAATTTCACGACAGCTAGAAAACTGCCTTCTGGAAGGACTAGTATTTCTGGTTAAAAAAATAAAAGAAGAAGAAAAAAAAAAGAAACCAAAACCCTCACATTCAACCTAACCAACTTCTAGTTTGAAAGGGCTGGCAACAGGCCTCTTAACATGCAAGAACATGAGATTAAGGGCATGTCTACATGTACTGTGCTGCTGCAGCACATCTGGTGAAGACATTCTATGCCGGCAGGAGAGAGCTCTCCCGTCAGCCTAATAAAATCACCTCTGTGAACGGCAGAAGCTATGTGGGCTGGAGAACTTCTCAGGGGGCAGTTTACTCATACCCCTGAAACTTAAAATATGCTGACATAAGCTGTAATGTAGACATAGCCTTTGCTATGTAACGTATGTCACTCGGGGTGTGAATAAACCACCCCCTGTTCTGTACTGCCCTGAGGCTACCTGAGAATTCAGAAGTACCTACGGAGGCACCAGAAGAACAAATTACTTGGCCCTTAAACAAAAGCCTCCCTCCTCCCCCCCCCCTTCCTACTGAAGACTGCAGAATTTAGCCCAGACTTTTACATTTAAAAGGGTAATTTAGTGACAATGAAAGCTGGAAGCCCTAAGGAGACTGAAGTCCTTTTCTTGGCCACAGAACAAGTTCACCCTAGTAACACTGTATTTGTACAGCTGCATGTAGCAGTTGTGAAAGCTAGCATAGAATGACTGCTGATAAATATCCAAATATTTTAAATTGGGCCTACAGATGCTAGAACTGTGAAAGGGACAAAACCCAGAAGAAAATGGGCAGAATAACTCCATCCACTTTTGGAATTGCTGAGTTACTTTTTATGGCCTGGGTTATGTAGGTGGCCAGATTAGATGATCGCTGTGGTCTTCCCTGGCTTTAAAAATCTATGGCTGGTATTGAATCAAAATTTAAAGAAGGCTCTTTATGGCAATTGTGCAGTTCCTCCACTACCTTTGCACAAGCCTTTAACTAATATTAGCACTGAAGGCTATACGAGACTCCTGCCCAAGCACGATGCTGTATTTGATACTGCCTTGGTGAGAATCAAATTTGTTAGTAATTTCTTGCACTGTGGATGCACAAACAAGGAAAAGAACAGCTCAAAGCCCATTAGAAACTTAAGACAGTGTCCCTTTTTGCCAGTTACTCAAAGGAACTCCATAGGAAATTCTTTCCTTGCTTCTAGGAAGATGTTATGAGGGGAAAAAAGGAATTATGTGAATAAATCTTCTCTCATCAAGGTGTTTAGAGCCCTGCTTGAGTAAAATAATAAACATCCTAGGTAGGCAATATAAAAACAAGTGGACTATGAAAATTGGTCATACTGTAAGGATCTTTTAAGGACTAAAATCTTGACTTGTGATTTGTCTTTATTATTTCAGTTTTTTCCTCCAAAAGCAGAGCAACAACAAGTAAATCAGAAAAGTTTAAGTACCAATTTGAGCAGGGTACATCTTAATCTTTGATTCATGCCTCTAGTAAGAGGCAAGAATAAGTAATCTAGAAATTTATAATGTAAAAGTAAACGCCCAGAAATAATAAAAATGGTACTGTACCACTATTATTCCTGCCAAGCTATACACAATTATCTTCAGCAGTACGACAAAAGAGGCAGTGTGTTACTGAGTAATGGCAGTATGTCTCAAGTGACGGCCTTTACAATTTAACAACCTGGAAAGTGCCTCATTCTCCTAAAAGTGCCTTGTTACAGTATCTTATTTTTAGTTGTGAATTCAATTTCATAACAGGAAAGAAACTGATGCTTACTGAGCATTACTGAGTTACATTAGACAGCATATCAAAGCTGGCCAGAAAGCTTTACTTGGTCCTGAGGGTCAAAATTATTTAACTGTACCTAAGATTTTACGGTCATGTTTAAACAGTCATCATTATAAGCTGGTGAAATTTCCCAGGAAACTACACAATATTACTACACAACTACACAAAACTACACCACATTACCATAGTATCTGAGCACGCGTTCTCTGCAAACCCACAACCACTCACTCCCTCTTTGCCTGCAGCCCAACTCAGGCCTTGGTTACACATGAAGATTGTATTGCTTTAACTATACTGGCTTAATTAAAGCGGTACAGCGCCTAGTGTGGACACAGTTATATATTGCTATAAAGGTATCTTGTATCAGCATAGCCATTACCATAGAGAAGGAGAATAAACTACACCAATATAAGGCAACATTATACTGATACCACTGCATCCGCACTAAGGGTTGTATCATTTTATTTGGGTACAAAAAAAAAAAAATACAATCACACGGCTATCTGAAATCGTTATACTGGTACAAAACCTGGGTGTAGACAAGGCCTCAGGCTGCTGAAATTCCTACCCTCCCTCCCCCCAGCTTTGGAAATGGGCAACAGGATAGATTGCTTGATAATTACTTGTTCTGGGGCACCTTGCATTGGCCACTGTCCGAAGATAGGATACTGGGCTAGATGGACCTTTGGTCTGACCCAGTATGGCCGTTCTTATGCTATGCACAGTCTGGCTATGATCCCCTGCTTGGACTGGAAAACCTGATTGTGGGGCTGAAGCAATAACTCACAAACAAACAAGAGCACTCGATACCTGCTTGGGCCCACCGGCACCAGAGGCAGACAGGGAACTGGGGATAGCAATCTCTGGCTGGTGGGTCAAGTGCAAGCAGCATTTAGTGCAGGCCTGCTGAAAGAGTAAAGCCCTATGTGGATACACAGGTCCCAGAGACATACTGTTGCCACTGAACTATATGCCTTAAATACACCGATGTCAACAAAAATGCCAGTCCAACAAAAATAAAATTAGTAAGAGAACTTTTCAAATGACATTTTATTCAAACTATGTCACATTTAAACTAAAGACTATCTATTCTAACAAACAGGATTGCGCAGTATGTGCTTTCCTTGTCAAATCACAGGAACTACTGGATATAACAGGGAAGGAGATTCTTATACCTTGGTTGATGCTGAGGCTGTGGTGTAATTAAAGTTATTAAAATGTCTGCTTTATTGCTTATTTGGCTAGGTATTGGCTGCACCATTAAAATCTGTTAAAGGGCAGACAAAATGCAGAAGGACAGATTTGCACAAAACCAAGTAATCAAACTTTTTGAGATTGGGACAAAATGTTAATGTACTGCCTCCTCTCCCAAACGTGTCCATATATACTGTGAAGATGTGTTAAATTGGCATGAGGGATTAAACGGTTTCAAATCCAACAATATGGCTTTCAAGACCCCCATTCCAGTTCTGCTATTATACTTCAGTCCTTGCCTGCATCACTGCACTCGAACTAGTCCATTCCCTATTCACAAGCCTCTTTCAGCCAAGTCTGACAACCCTGTTATGTAGTGTGAAGCCTGTGTAACAGCTAATTTTCCACTCCACTAGAAGGAGACCACTAGCTCACATCTTTTTATGACGCAGGTTCAATTTTTACTTTTGGGTTTCCCAAATGAAAAGCAATTAATCAGTTTTGCCATCTTATTTCTGAAGAGCTCATAACATGTAGTGCTTTCAGCTAAAAGGTATCAGTATTATTGTGTCTTTACACAATAAAATAGAGTTGGAATTCTAAACAGTTTTCACACCTACCTGCTACGTTGAGCTTTTCAACTGCTCCTAAGCTGGGAGCAGCAGTGGTGGTACTGTTGGTAGAGTTTGCTCCTGTGCCGTTAATTACAAGGTTCTCCACCTTGGACTCTAGCTTGCCAATACGCTCCAAGATATTATCCAGTAAGACTGCAAGAGTTTTCTTTAGATCTATAACAAATGAAAAACAAACCATGTAACATCACACTGGATACCACATCGACACATCAGACATTCATCACTGACACCTCATATCCATCAAATAAAAAAAGAGAAGCTAATGCTACTCTGCAGCCCAGCCATGATCAGATACCATTTCACCATTAGAGGTCCCCCCTCAGCCACAGCAACTGTCTTAAAATTGTTGGAGAAATCAGATTGTATTTAGAAATCTTTGTTGTGGAGCTCCTCCCATCATAGAAATATATTAGGGTTGTCGATTAATCGCAGTTAATTCACGCAATTAACTCAAAAAAATTAATTGCAATTAATCACAGTTTTAATCGCACTGTTAAACAGAATAACAATTTATTAAATATTTTTCAATGTTTTTTCTACATTTTCAAATATATTAATTTCAATTAAAACAAAGAATACAAGGTGTACTGTGCTCACTATTATTTTTGATTATAAATATTTTCACTGTAAAAATGATAAAATAGTATTTTTCAATTCACCTCATACAAGTACTGTAGTGCAATCTCTTTATCGTGAAAGTGCAACTTACAAATGTAGAATTTTTTTGTTACATAACTGCACTCAAAAACAAAACAATGTAAAACTTTAGAGCCTACAAGTCCACTCAGTCCTACTTCTTGTTCAGCCAATCACTAAAACAAACAAATTTGTCTACATTTATGGGAGATAATGCTGCCCGCTTCTTATTTACAATGTCACTTGAAAGTGAGAACAGATGTTCACATGGCACTTTTATAGCTCCTATTGCAAAATATTTATGTACCAGATATTCTAAACATTCATATGCTCCTTCATGCTTCGGCCACCATCCAGAGGACATGCTTCCATGCCGATGCCGCTCGTTAAAAAAATAATGCATTAGTTAAATTTATTACTGAACTCCTTGGGGGGAGAATTGTGTGTCTCTTGCTCTGTTTTACCCACATTCTGCTATATATTTCATGTTATAGCAGTCTCTGATGATGACTCAGCACATGTTGTTCGTTTTAAGAACACTTTCACTGCAGATGTGACAAAACACAAAGACGGTACCAGTGTTAAATTTCTACAGATAGATACAACACTTGACCGAAGGTTTAAGAATCTGAAGTGCCTTCCAAAATCGGAGAGGGACAAGATGGGGCTCATGCTTTCAGAAGTCTTAAGAGAGCAACACTCCGATGCGGAAACTACAAAATCCAAACCACCAAAAAAGAAAATCAACCTTCTGCCAGTGGCATCTGATTCAGATGATGAAAATGAACGTGTCAGTCCACACTGCTTTGGATCATCATCAAGCAGAATCCATCATCAGCATGGATGCATGTCCTCTCGAGTAATGGCTGAAGCATGAAGGGACATATGAATCTTTAGCGCATCTGGCACATAAATAGTTTGTGACGCCGGCTACAACAGTGCCATGCAAATGTCTGTTCTCACTTTCAGATGGCATTATAAACAAGAAGCAGGAAGCATTATCTTCCGCAAATGTAAACAAACTTGTTTGTCTGGGTGATTGGCTGAACAAGAAGTAGGACTGAGTGGACTCATAGCTCTAAAGTTTTACATAGTTTTATTTTTGAATGCCGGTTTCTTTTGTACATAATTCTGCATTTGTAAGTTCAACTTTCATTATAAAGAGATTGCACTCCAGTACTTATATTAGGTGAACTGAAATATACTTTTTTTTGTTTTTATAGTGCAAATATTTATCAAAAATAAATAAATATAAAATGAGCCCTTTGTATACTGTGTTGTAATTAAAATAAATATATTTGAAAATGTAGAAAACAACCAAAAATGTTTAAGTAAATGGTATTCTATTATTAACAGCACGATTAATTGCGATAATTTTTTTAAGCACTTGACAGTCCTGGAATATTTACATATAAAACTAGTTGATAGCTCAGATACTATTTATGATCGTCATGGATGAGAATTAAATTAATCAAGACATAAAAACTAGACTGGAATTAATATTAGCACTCAGGAAAATTTCGTTCATGAACAATCACCCTATGTAAGAACTATTTTTCTATTTTGTCCAAATTAAGATATAAGCTCCTCTGGTCACAGAACTGATCTATGTAACTATTTTGTGAAGCACATTGTAAGAAACAGATCACAAACTGGAATTTCTATAATTTACATAACTGGAAAGCTATGTGTAAGTCTTTATAATTAAGATAAAACTGTATCCATATACATTAACACATGCTGTATCTGTGTGTGCAAATACACTTGTATTATACATCTGCTTATATTGTGATATATGCAGGTAATTTACACACACACACACACACACACTTTTCTATTCAGATATTATCATAATAGGGTGGGCAATATACACGCTTTTAACGAGTTATCCTGAGTATGCCAATGAACTTGTGAGTTCTTGTTTTAAAACCAGTCAAAATTAACAATCCTGACTGCAGCACAAATTAAACTGTTAAAAGTGATAAATGATTCCTCGTTTGCAACACTGGCTACAGAAACTCTGCAAGCAGCAGCTAGAACTTAGCATTCAGTGCTTATTTTGACATGTAAATCACCAGGATCAAATTATTTTACACTTTTTATTTGTAAGCAAGGAAACTATTCCTCTTGATTGAAAAGCATAGTACCCAAATCCTTATATTACACTCAAATGCTCCAATAATGAGATTTAGCTTCACATTTGTGTACCATGAAATGAACAGTCTATGGGATGTTCCAGTGAATGAAAAATATCCCATCCCTATAAAGAGGGCTCAGTTCTCATTCAGACTGAGCAAAGCCAGCAATCAACTTTCACACTGTTACATCATTAGGGCCCTACCAAATTCACTGTCCATTTTGGTCAATTTCTCATACATAGGATTTTAAAAACCATTCATTTCATGATTTCAGCTATTTAAATGTGTCGTTTCACAGTGTTGTAATTGTAGGGGTCCTGATACAAAAAGGAGAGTGTGTGGGGGGGAGGGTGGGAAGAGAGTCGCAAGGTTATTGTAGAGGGGGTTGCGGTACTGCTACCCTTACTTCTGCGCTGCTGCTGGTGGCTGGGCAGCTGGAAAGTGGCAGCTGCTGGCTGGGATCCCAGCTCTCAAGGAAGAGCTACTGCCAGCAGCAATGCAGAAGTAAGGATGGCCTGGTAAGGTACTGCCACCCTTACCTTCTGCGCTACTGCCTGCAGAGCTGGGCCTTCAGTCAGCAGCCGCTGCCACTCTCCAGCTGCCCAGCTCTGAAGGCAGCAGCACGGAAGCAATGGTGGCCTGGTATGGTATTGCCACCTTTACTTCTGCACTGCTGCTGGCGGGGCAGCCAGAGAGCAGCAGCTGTTAGCCAGCTCTGAAGGCAGCACAGAAGTAAGTGGGGCAATACTGTGACCCAGCCCTAAAATAACCTTGCAACTCCCTTTTGGATCAGGATCCCCAATTTGAGAAACGCTGGTCTCCCCCATGAAATCTGTATAGTATAGGGTAAAAGCACACAAAAGACCAGACTTCCTGGGGTGATGCCAGATTTCACGGTCTGGGACGCATTTTTCATGGCTGTGAATTTGGTAGGGCCCTATACATTCGGCTTCTTCCTGATCATGCAAATTCTGACTTTTATACCCTACACCAATAATGCTATATACCATATCACCAGAGCCACCCCACGCAAGTAGAGTTGGGAAAAAATTCTCTATATATCTGCATATTGTGCAAAACAACATAGGAAGAATATGAGGAAGTTGATTAATTAATAACAAATAAAAAGTATAAAATTCAGAATTCAGAAAATGTTACAGAAAAGTTGACAGATTGTCTTTACCTCATGACAATGTGGGAAAGGGGAGAAAAGGACATAACTATACAAGAATTACAGTGCTGGCCTAAACTGTGAATGTACTGGAGTTTGCCTATTTATGGCACTATCTCGAGAATTTACATTATTCAATAGATGCTACCATTACGCTGTTAATCATGCAAAAATAGGTTTAAAATGTGTAATTATCTTCTTTTCATAACTTTAAAATCAAATGGTTTTCTGATCTGTAATTTGACATGTGGTAGAATTTTCAATTATAATTCATAAGCAAAGATTCACTTGCTTTACACTGGGTTTAGTTTTGTCATATGGTTTTTAGTGTTTCTAATTAGTTTTTAATCAGCAGTCAAATATCTGTGCAAACAAGAGAAAGTTTCTGTGGAAAGGCTGTTAAGTTTAAAGTTAAGGAAAGCTACCCGAAAAGAAAATGAATTGCACCTATTTTAAGGATGCTCCAACAATGTATATCTTCTTTCATTGATACTGTTTTCTTTGCCTTCCAAAGACCATAACAAGTGAAAGCACAGAGAGTACTAAATTAAAAAAAAAAATTACTATCCATATCTATATCTAGAGAGAGAAAGAGCGCGCGCGCTTGCTCATATTTTGAAATATGTGTCTATATATATATACATAACATATTGTAAAGCATTTTTATATAAATGTTAATAATTGAAAAATTTTAAAAAACAGTCACATTGGAGCAGAGTGACAGAAAAAGATTAAACAGTTATCAACGTGATTTTAAGGTCCAACTTCTTGCAGCCTGTCTGGAAAGGCTGTGTTTCTCAATCTTTTTGAGCTGGTGACCCCCTTTGGGCTTAAAACAAAACAAAACAAAACATGAAACCCTCCCCCCACTAGAAAAAACTTTCAACCCGGTACCTTCAGCTTTGGCCACAGGACTTCAGCATCCTTGCGAGGCACATGGCTGAAACACGTACATTCACTACCCAGGGCACCCTGTAGCGTGGGGCCCCAAGTAGTTGCCCTGCTTCCTAACCCCAATGCCGTCCCTGCTTGCAACCCCCTAAACCCAACCCACGACCCCCAGGTTGAGAAACACTGCTGTATAGGATGGGAGCTCCATTTACAAGTTATGTAACATAAAAGATCTTAAAGGTGTCAGTTGTCAGTTGTCCAGAGTAGCAATGCATTTTTGGCACTGATATAGCAAGCTCTGGATTTTGGACCAATGC